GACTTGAGCAGAGAAGTTAACTTGGGCCAACACTGGAGTGGCTGAAGCAGTACTCTAATTTCATGCAAAGGCAAGGAGAGAAGGCTGCAGCACCCCCCAACCCCTCATAAGCCATATCTGAACACTGCCAAGTCCAACCCTGCCCTAGCTCTACCATGGGTATTTCCCAGCTGAGGATGGTGAGGGCTCATGTTACTCTGGGTTCATTGTATGCCCCACCTCCAGGAAGACACTGAGATCTATAATCCACCCCTGTCTCAACTGTGATTACGACTGATTGAGAATCTGCACCCTGATTTTATGACTAATCTCTACATTGGACAGGACAAGCAGCAACTGAGGGAGCGGCAGAATTTGATTTTATGACCATTGCAATATCTGAACTAAGGTATCATCCAATGGAAAATATATATTTTAAGTATCATTTTTGTTTTAACTGGAGGAAATGCAGATTGTTTTCTGCTAAGTAGCTTATGGGAAAAGTGAACTTTGTTTGACAGAGAATCCGGCATTGACACTCATCTCCTATATCACAAGCTGCTTGGCCTTCCAGCTGTGAGCTAATCGACGTGGCCAAGCACTAATAGCTGATAAAACATGCATAGTTGTGGGGACTAGAAATAGTGCCCTTGGCATAAAATCTGCTAACAGTAAATAAGCAGTGTTTTAGTTCCTTGAGGAGAAGCAGCTTCCTCTAGAGGAGCCGCCAGTGGAATAATTCAGTTGATTGCAGAAGTGAAGGCAGAATCCTGATTTAAAAGCCCTCCCAGTCTATGACATCTTTCACGGATTTCACTCAGTGTCTCCAGATCACAGCTGCCATTTCAAACCTGCCTGCTCGATGTTGTTTTGTACCTTACGTATGTTACCAAAGGTTTGGTCTCCATTCCAACAGAGCAGTTTTTGAAATTACTTTTCTTAAGATAAAAGCCTCAAAACAGAAACCTGAGATTTTGTAACGTTGTCTCTCCAGTCAGAATTTAAAGACGTTAAATTATTAGCCTGACTAGGGTTTTGGATGAATCTGTGGCTCTGCCTTGCTGCCTGTCAGTTTTTGACTTTTCAAAATGTGGAATTTCACTCGACGTGATTTGCATGTTGGAGTCAAAACTGTGCCTGTGTGGATTAGAAACCACAGTGCAAGCATGACTTTCTCTCCACATTTTGAAAGGAGAATAGAAATGATGCAGTTCTACTCTAGCTCATTTTCCACAATTACGAGGCGTGACTATACCATTCTAGAAATTGAAAGAGTATGTATTATATAACATTTCTGTTCGTCCACTGGTTTGCATGTACCCCACTCGTCTACCTTCAAAACCTGTTCACTACTTCAAAGATGAGCCCAGCCCACGATATTGAATCATTTCTAAGTTATAATCGTCTGGGATATATTCTGCTGTGCTCAATGACAAAGGAATATTCTGCCAGACCGTGTGCGGTATTTGATGAGAAATGAGCTCTTGGTGTATTTGATACAGAACATAAAGCCTAAGCCCTTCATGAGCAGTTATGAATGTTCTTGGATTTAGGAGAACATGCACAGACTCAGAAGTACCAGCAGCCTTTCTCTGAGTATAAGCATAGCTTAGTCTATACAATGCTGAAGCAGACTTGCTCGTCAGTATAATCTTGAATCCAATCGTATCTTGCAGCTTTCCATTCCAATTCTAATCATGTTGCTTAAAAGTTCCTGCATCTTTATCACCATGAATTATTTTTGGTATGCTTCTAGGGATACTGACTCAGTGAAGGGCTATGCTGGATGTTTGAGCCAACGCGGGACCCGGGAAATTCAGCTGTTGAGTGCATTGTTTTCAAGCACATCCTGTCCTCGCTTGTTGTCCATCTGCAAGCACATTCTACCTGGATTGACTACTGACAAACCAGGATGACTTGTAACTCCTAAATTACTGCCTCTGATATGGCTAAGATCAGTAGACTCAACACAGACCAGGAACTGAAGCCAGAACATTCTGGTCTGTCTGGTTTTAGCAGTTACAGACAAACAAGGAAGAAGAGTAGACCACTCGGCTCTCCAACTTTGCTCCTCCTTTCAATAAGATCACGGCTGATCTTAAAACCTTGACACTCATTTCTGCATATCTTCTGCAGAAGTACTAAGACTTGCTCCAGAATTAGTTGCATCTCTGGCCAAGCTGGCCAGGCATCTACCCAAAATCTTTCATCCCCTTGATAATCAAGAAACTATCTTAAAAATATTTAAAGATTCTGCATCCAGTGTCTTTTGAGGAAGGGAATTCCAAAGACTCTCAACTCTCTGAGAGAAAAAAAGAGTTTCCTCATCTCTGTCTTAAATGGGTGACCCCTTATTTTTAGACTACAAACCCCGGGTTCTGGTTGTTAGTTTAATACAGCCCTTTCCACACCCCTTCTTGCATCACCATGTTGCAAACTATTCATTGGCTGGGCTGTCAGTCACCTGAGCCTTTTCGTATCACTGAGCCTGACACCCATTCATCTGTGAGCCTCAGTTAAGGGAAATAGTGACATTGTGATAATGTCACTGGATTTGCAGCCCAGAAGCTCGAGCTAATGCTCGGAGACATGGGTTCAGCTCCCTTCAGGGCATCTGGTAGAATTCAAATTCAATTAATAAAGGATTAAGTTCAAAAACTAGTCTAATGGTGATCAATAATTGATTATCATTTCTTTTCAAAGCCATCTGGTTAAGGATCGTTACTTGATCTGGCCTACAGTAACTCCAAAATGTGATTAGTTCTTAAATGCCCCCTGAACTGGCATAGCAAGTAACTCAGTTGTATCAAAATACAACAATATGTAGGAGAGAAAAGGAATAGAACTGGACTGACCACCCAATATTGAATGAGGCACCGGAAATAAAAATGGCATACCCCAGCTGTGTTGACCCTCCTCATGAGATCACAGATTATTGTTGAATACAGTTCTGCTGCTTCTAATGGCCCATAGTACCTCATGGATGCCCAGGTATGAGTTGCTATAGCTGTCCAAAATCTATTCCATTCAGTGCTTCTGAAAGTAAGATAGCGTTTAACTGAGTTTGGCATTGAGGAGCCTTTGCAAAACTGGAATGAATGGAAATCGGGGAAGAATTCTCCCTGCTAGTTGTAGCCATGCTTGGCATTAACATTCACAGCGAACTGCCTGGCCACAAGTGCTTGGAGGTTCCACACACAGTAATTGGGATTCCAATATGATGTCCATTTGCAGAAGTCGCTGCCAGTCATGGATCTCAGAGGTCCGCTCAGTGGGGAAAAAAGGTATTAGAGGGAACACTGCTTATCACAAAGGAAGATGGTTATGGTTGTTATAAGTCAATCATCTGAGTCCTAGGACCTCGCTGCAGGAATTTGTCAGGGTAGTGTCCTAAGTCCAACCATCTTCAGCTGCTTTATTAATGACCTTTCTTGGAACATAATGTCAAAAGTGGGGATGTTCACTGATGACTGCATAACATTTAACACCATTCATGATTCTTCAGATACTGAATCAGTCTTTGACCATGTGCAGTAAGCAGTGCACAAGATCCAGGTGTGGGCTACTAAACAATAAGTAACATTCACGCCACACAATGCCACAAATAGCCGTCTCCAATAAAAGATCATCTAACTGACTCACCTTATCATTCAAGGCTTTGTCATTGCTGAAGCCCCTGCTATCAACATCCTGGGAGTCACAGCTAACCACAAACTCAACTAAACTGCCTATGTAAATATTGTGGCTACAAGAGCAGGTCAGAAGCTGGGAATGCTGCAGCAAGTAGCTCACTTCCTGACTCCCCACAGCCTGTCCGCCATCTACAAGGCACAAATCCAGAGAGTCATGGAATACTCCCCACTTGCCTGGATGGGTGCAGCTCCAATAACACTGGAGAAGCTCAACACCAACCTGGACAAAGCAGCCCACCTCATCCACCACTTTACCACTGATACCATTTGGTGAGGCAGCCCACCACTGCTCCTTCAACCGCATCTTCCAAACCCATGTCTTCTACTTCCTCAAAGGATAAGGGCAGCAGATGCATTGGAACACCCACCGCCTGAAAGTTTCTTCCAAACCATCCTGGCTTGCAGCTATATTCCTTCAATGCCATACGGTCAGAGTCCTGGAGTTCCCTTCCTAACAGCACGGCAGTTGTCCCTACACTCTTAGGACATCAGTTCAAGAAAGCAGTTCACCACCACTGTCTCAAGAGCGATTAGGGATGAACAGCAAATGCTTGAGTAACCAGTGATGTCCACATCCCTACCTGGTCTGGACTACATCTGACTCCAGACCCACAGCAATGTGGTTGACTCTTAACTACCCTGTGGGATGGGCAATAAATGCTGGCCTAGCCAGCAACACCCTCATCCCCTGAATGAATTTTTAAAAAATTCATGAATGAGTGAAATAAAAGTTCTTCTGTCTGTCAGAAATGGGCTTCAATGCCAAAGATCGGATTTTAAATTTACTTTTTGATGCGGGGGGGTGGCAAAGAATTAAATTTTCAGAAAATTTTTTAAAAAAGCACGTTGAGGACTCTAACCCCATCTCCCTATCCAGCTCTATGTTTGACTTGAAACCTGGAAAAGATGACTGTGTGGTAATGCTGATGAAGCACAGTGAATGTACCTTGTTGGGACAAGAGTGATACCCTGTAAGCCCCACCTACAGCTCGGAATGTGTAGCCACTATGAGGAGAGCAGAAAATCCACACTCTTGTTACCGCTTGAGAACATGTTCAGAAAAGCTCAGCATCAAGCCTGTGGCCTGCAGTAATATTACCGCTCAGCATTATGATGCCCATTGTTCCCCGAGACAACAAGTGAAAAAAAACAGATTAAAGAAACTTGTGGCCAGTTCAAGGTGAAATGGCATTTGAAAGTTTTCTCTCTGACCACCAAAAGTGGTCCCAGGAGACCACACTGATACATAACCTAATATTGTACACTTTTCTTTATTCATTTACAGGATATGGGTGTCACTGGCTGGGCCAGCATTTATTGCCCATTCCTAATTTGCCCAGGGGGCGGTTAAAAGTCAACCACATTGCTATGGGTCTGGAGTCACATGTACAGGTAGGTCAAAATTGATAAGGATAGCAGTTTCCTTCCCTAAAGGACGTTAGTGAACCAGATGGGTTTTTCGAACAGTCAATGATGGATTCATGGTCATCGTCAGATTCTTAATTCCCAATTTTCATTGAATTCAAATTGCACCATCTGCCATGGTGGGATTCAAAGCCGGGTCTCCAGAACACTGCACTGGGTCTCTGGATTAACAGTCCAGCGACAATGCCACTAGGCACTTGCGTCCCCATTTATTGTCGTATGTCGTAGTATCAGAAAGTCTTCCAGTTGAGTTCCTCCTATTCACATTCAGACCTTTGACTCCAAAGATATTCTGTGATGGATTACAAGCAGAAGTTCAAATTTTAAAAGAAAATTTAATATTGAAGGGGTTAATTATTGTACCAATCTCTTGTAAAATTTATTAGCTGTCTTTATCGTTTGTAAGCAAGTTGTATCAGGTTAAATGATATTTGAGACCATCTTAGGCCAAATATTCTTTTCCCTTAATGTGAGGATTGATTTTAAAATTTTAAAATCAATTTTAAAATTTTCATCCTTGGTGTTTAAGTATTGCTTACTTTAAATGTTGCTTGCTTGTATACTGAGTTGGTAAACTAACAGCTTTTCTGTCTCAATTTGACATTAGCCACCTGAAATTTTGGGAACTGACCTTCAGGAGCAGGTCCTTCCTCTATAAACAGGTGAGTGCAGAATGTAAACAGCTTGAAATATTGCCCAAATCAATTATGTAAAATCTCCAGAGTTTGGTGTATTTGTCTAAGATTTACATCATGTGTTGTAATAGCAAATATCTCCGTTATAATTGCAATACTCTCCAATATCTTTTGTAATATTCCTGACTTCACAAAACAAAAGATGTAAGTCTAATTTATTTAATGTTGATAATGTGTGATATTCAGCTATACTTGGAAAGACTTGGATTTACGTAAAATTTCCCAGAAACAAGGTGCTTCATGTACAATTAAGTATTTTTTTGAATGCAGTGAATATTGATAGCTAAATAAACTCAGCAGTTGCTTTACACACAGAATCATACAAACTGTAATAAGACAACCAGTTAACCTGGTTCTTTATTGTTAATTGAGGATTGATTATTAGGATGGCATGCACTGATTACCTCCCTTTCAGAGTAGGTCAGGATAAAGATCAACATCCCTGGTCTTCTTTCAGTAGTGACAGCAGCTTCATTTACTATCCAACTGAACAGTCAGATGAGCCTAAAACATTTTATCTGAATGGTAGCAGAGCCAACAGTGCAGCACTCCCTCAGTATTGCAGTGGTGTGCCATCCAGGATTACGTCTGAGAATTTGAATATTGTGGCTGTTAGCCAGAAATGTTTGACACCAACGGTACCCATGTGAATATTGTGACATTTATCTGTATTAAATTACATCTGTTATACATGAGTCCATTGCCCCAGTGAATCTAAATCTAACGTAGCCTACTTTTAGCAATGAAGATCCTATTACACACACCAATCTTTATGTTATTTGCCACTTTGTTGTTGTTCCCTGTGCTGTCTTTATTCTAATCGTGAGTAAAGGTGGGGAAGAGCAAGGGTCCTGACACTTTTAGCTGCTCGACATAACTCATCACTATACCAAACCACAACCAGTAATATCAACCTTCTGTTGAAGGGTCTGGCATTACAACAAACTCCTTATCCAATTCCAGTAACCCCTTATCAATCCCACAAAGCTCTATCATGTAAAGTAGCCTTTGTGTGACACTTTGATATTCAGGTTTACAGTGTTAACCAGGTAGTCTGCATCCACTGGGGGTTAGTAACTCCTTTTTGATGCGATTCATTAAGTGGCTGGTCAGTTTTTACTATAATCACTCTGTCCACAGTTACGCTGACTACCTCTAGTTGCCTGAAACTGTAGTTGCTCTCAGTTCTGCATCCTCTGCATTATTTCCCATTGCCTAGTAAGTTTAAAGTGCAAAGTCTTATACTCTCAGTCAATCATTTCTCCTTTCTTCTGAATAGTGAAATCAAATGGTGCTGATCTAAAGCCATAAATCATCTGAAAATATAGAAAAGTCATTTACAAAACCAAGAAGACTGCCCCACTGACTCAGTTTTCACTGGCCATAGAATGTGACAGCCAAGAAGTTGCAGAGTGTTTTCTGCAGATTCTGTTACCATCATTTTCAGAAAGAAAATTCTGGAGTTAGATTGTCTGTTAGGCCCGTGGTATTGACTACTAGAATTGAGTCAGTAGAAAGTAAATTCCATGTCAGAAAGTGTACAGATCAATGAGCCTGATGTTTTGTGGTACTTTCTAGAGAATCCATTCAGTGAGTTTATTACCAGGCAGATAAACCACAAGATCTTAGACCTTTCACCGATCATTTCTCCCTCCTTTTGAGAGCACTCATCTGTGATTATGTAATGACCCAGTACTGTCCGCTGATACATGATCCAGACATAAATCGTGCGATACTTCACTGCAGAGGTCAACATACATGTGGCTTGAGTTCCAGCAAGGGACAAGGGGGACTCCTGGTTGATTTTTTCCTGTCATAACCCAGACAGAAAGGAGGGTCTTCAGTCACGTGGATGGATTGGAGAAGCAGAGGGAATTATCCTGCTTTCGGAGTTTCTTGGGAGATTTGATGGCCATGTTCAAAATCGTGAAGGGACTAGACAGCAGATAAAGAGAAGCTGGATCCACTGGTGAAATGGTTGAACTTATGGACCACTCCGATTTGAGGTGATTGGTCAAAGGGTCAGAGGGGACGGGAGGAAAAGTTTTCTTATGCAGAGGATGGTTAGGGTCTGGAGTGCTCTGCCTGAGAGTGTGGTGGGGGCAGATTCAGTCTTGGCTTTTGAAAGAGAATTGGATAATTATCTGAAGAGACAATTTTGCAGGGTTACGTGGAAAAGCCAGCTGAATATTCCTTGCAGAGAGCAGGCGTGGTGACAACAAGCCAAAATGCCATCAGTCTATAATTCTCTAATAATACTGAGACCAATTGTAACACCATAGTTAGCTCCTGTATGAGATCAGTTAATACAACCAGGACCTCAAATCTAGAGTCACATTGGTCCTAATGGCTCCATTCTCACTAGTTATTTTACTTACAAACCCAGTCACCAGGACTACCAGTGTTTTATTTTTGAGTCTTGTTTGTTATTTTAACATTCACGATTGGATTTGCAGCAGACCTTCCTGATGGGGAGCTGGTAATCTGATGCACCAGTGCACTCCAGGACACACAGAATTGCAGGTTTATATGTCACATTAAGCTAGGTGGTAATTCACCTCTGAGATCAAGCTTGTTCTTGGTCTTTGTCACCCTTTGGGGAAGTCAGGAGGTAAGACAGTGGATCAGCAATCAGACAACATCCAAAGACAGCAGTGAAATACTCAAAGAACCTAACTGCGATTGGAAGGACTGCTGAATCTTAAATAAACTGGGACTTTGTGAATTGCTGCAAGGAAAGAATTGCATGGTATGAATGAGGAAACCAAAGAGGAACCTTGTTTGAGGTCAGAGAAGATAGGGAGGCTGAAAATGCTAGACATGGAAGAAAGAATAGTTTTCCAGTCTGCTGTAGTGCAGTTCAACAGACATTAGGTAGTAAAATAGAATGTGTTTTGGATGGTTGTGAAGACTGGTTCTAGATAGTGGATGCATGTCAATCTGTGAAAGTTGATAACAGTGTCCGTTGTGCTTTGGTTCAACTGAACATACCTTTTGCCACACAGGTTGGCTATAGCAGGGTCTCCATGTGTTATTTTATATCAGTCGGTATCCAACCAATTTCAGATGGCTTTTGCATCTGAGGCTGGGATCTCTGTTGAAAAAATAAACCTTTTGACCAGCAGGTTTAAGCCTTCAGCAGTAACAGAGCAACCTCTCTCATGGTGCATTAACTGGAGCCATAGTGAGCATTGTGAAATGCCCAGACCATCCTCACCAGATGCCCAGTGATAGTTGAAGGAGACTGAGGGCAGTAATTGATGTACATTACGAGCATTGGCAAACACAACTATCAGGATCGCCAAGAAAGTTTACAGCGACCTCTGCTGGCTGTAGCTGAGAATTTGATTAAGCAGCTATTTCATTTCCTTCTCTTCATGCTATATATTAGACATTTTGATGGGAGGAGAGAGTAATAGAGGCCAGATGATAGGTTAATGAATTGAGACTTGGATGATACAGTGGAGCTCAGTTTCATGGTGAAAGCCCTCTGTTCTCTGATGCAAGTGTGAATGCTGGGATGAACGCAGTCTAGCTCTACCGACCTGGCGCAAGGGTCACTGAATACCAGTTCAAGAGTTCATTTTTCAGTCGTTTACATTGAGTCACTCAGATAAAGTGGCAGCCCACAGTCGGTGTTCAGTGAAGCCAGGAGTCTGGAGTTTGCGGAAACCCAGGGGCATTGTCAGCCTCCCTAAGCTGAATTGTGGTCTATTTCATGGAGCTGGGGTGCAGACTCAGGAGAAGAGATTTAGCAGCTGGGTGGGGGTACGGAACAGCCACTAGGATATTTTACATTGGAGCCCTGTTTCCTGACAACTGCTTGCAAGCCACAGACGAAGCAGGAGGGCTTCCCGGCTAAAGAGAAGTTGCTGAGGGATTTCTAAAAAGTGAAGAATTGGAATCCCCTGCAAAGGAAGCAAATTTTTAATGAGATTTGGTGACTCAGCATCACCAATGCCTGGATTGGCTGCTGCAAAATCCATGGGATCTACCTTAACCACATCTGTCATTCGAGATGCTCTGTGGGCTGTTTAACCACAAGTGTGTCTGTTCCCCATATTTACCTCCTGTTAACTCTGAATGTTAGAATATGTAATTTGTCTACACATATGAGATTATTTTATCTTTCTAATCTTGCAAAGTTTATTTTGTTTGACCCAGACTGTGGAATTTTATGGCTTTAGTCTCTAGTAAGTATGTGGAATCTCAACTTTTGCCTACTTTGACCAGGGTCATAACTTAAATTAGCAGCCCTAAGCAGGTTGTAACATTAATCTAATTGGTCCTCTACAGGATCATAATATTTCATATATTTAGTGAACTGCCTTTCAGATGAGATATTTGACTGAGGGCTCATAGATGTCAAAATTCTCATTATACCGTTGAAAAAGCACAGTTTCTCCTGCTTTTCATACTAGTATTTATGGGTCAAGCAAAACCATTAATTAATTGCAAAGGGGTTGCAGTATAAAACTTTGGAAAACTTGCTACAATTGTCCAAGGCTTCAGTGAGACCACAACTAGAGCACTGTTCACAGCTTTGGTGTCCATACCTAAGAAATGATTTACTTGCATTAGAAGCAATACAGTGAAGGTTCACTAGATTGGTTTTATTTGTTCATGGGGTATGGACATCACCAGCTAAGCTAGATAACAAGGTGTAGAGCTGGGTGAACACAGCAGGCCAAGCAGCATCAGAGGA